GTACTCAAATGAAACCTCTTGATGAGTGTAACATCGGAATGAACTTATATCTTTAAAATATATATTACATAATTAAGAAATGACCTTGTATCTCGTGAACTATTGATATTTTTAACGATATAAGCTCACCCCGACATTACACTCATGAAGACCTTTCATTTGAGTACCCACATCAATTTTTCATATATTTTATATATTTATATATATTACATATATGTATATATGAAAAATATATCAAAAATGCATGTGGTTACTCAAACGAAAGCTCTTGATGAGTATAACATCATAATGAGCTTATATTTCCAAAAACATGATAAATAACCTTAAAAATCGAATAATACCTACAAAAAAAGCTTATATATCTTCCATTTAATTATTTATAGATCTAGATTCTGGAGAATATTTTACCTGTGAATTATGGAGAACCTCAATATAATACCCCATTGTAAGAATAATAGGATCCCCCTATAGTCTATATTCTGCAGAGTACAAAGTAACAGAGTACTACAGTACTACCTAACAGAGTGAGTGGCTGTAATTTATGCGGGATTGTTCTTTCTTGTCTCTCTCCCCTCTCTCTTCTTTCGATTCCTGATCCTTTGATTTCTTTTGTCTCCCAATTTATAAATAGATAATGCCTACACTCGCATTAAAATCAAACACTCGAAATATAATTTTAGCAACTCTTAATTTTATTGTAGATTATTTTTATTATTCGCGGGAATTTTCAAAGGAACAATCCAGTTTCAGGGAGTTTCGATAGAACAACTCTACAAAGAACTAGTTTGGATGTTTACACGCCCGTAATAGTCGCAAAGGACAAACGAACGGTTTGCAAACGTCAAACTTCGGACCTAGAAGTTCAGAGCTCGCTCGGGTTTGGCTCCGTAGTGCCACTCGGTTTCAAACTCATCGATGTTTAAATAAAAGTCTCCAAAGAAAGGAGAAAATTTTACTATAGTTTACAAGTTTGTAAAGGGGTTATTAAAGTTTGCAAGGGTTAAATAATTAAAATTTTGCATGAGCCAAAAAAATATTTTTTTTCTTAATTATTTTTTTGGAGCAGAAAAAAAAATTTTTTTTTGACACAAAAAAATTTCACTTATTCCAAAATTAATTTACTTGATTTAATAAATACGTATCTTGATCCAAGAAAATTTATTTAAGTCAAGAAAATCTTGTATTTTTGAAAAAATTCAGCCTTGAAGCTCTAAAAAATTTATTTCTTGATAGAAGTTAATTTTCTTGTCTTGAGAAAATTTCTCTCTTGCTCCAAAAAATTAAATATAAAGATAGAAGTAAATTTTTATTGATTAAAATGTCAATTGGGAAGATCAAATAATATTCCATTATTTTTTTTTTATTCAATATGTATAACTTCGGCCAACACAACTTCGGTCTTCCTTAAGGCACCTGACAAATTTTTTTGAGCCAAGTATTTTGTTTTCCAGTCAAGAAATTTTTCTTTCTATGTATGATTCAGTAAAAGAGCATATAGGAAAAGAGGTAAAAGAGCGTATAGTTAAGGGTTAATAGTGATTTGTGCTGAAAGGGCGTATAAAAAAAATTTTTTTTGTCATTCGGTTTGACAATTGTCTGAAACGTATAAAAATCTGTGGAAAAAAAAGTTGGTATCCTAAAGCTGAAAGGGCGTATCTCAAGACACACGCCCTTTCAGCTTTAAGAAAAATACTACTTAAAGGTAAAAGGGCGCGTAAAAATAAAATTGTAGTTTTGATACCAAATGTTAAATAATAGTTTGACAAGACAAGTTATACTAAAATAACAGCCTCAAATACAAAGTTTGATATAACCAAATAGAAAATAAATCAATCAAAAACAAATAACGTAAAAGTGAAGTAATAAAAAAAAATCACAATGACAGATAACATTGAAATATTTTGAAATTTCCCGCTTTACATCGCCCTATTGAATATAACTACTGGCGCCGTTCACACAACAGCTGTTTCATCATCATCAACAATCCACAATCCAAATTTTATAATAAACTATTTGTTAAAATAAAAAAGCGAGAAAATAATCACGCGTAATTTATTGTTTTTTTTCAATATGTTTTTTTTTTTAACTTTAAAAAATTTTATAGTTGAGGTTTTACGCCTTTTTACCTTTGAGTAGGTAAAAAGGTGCATAAATTTTTATACGCCCTTTTACTATTAGGCACCCGTTATAATTAATTTATTTTATAGAAAATCAAATTTACTACAGAAAAATTTTAATAAATTAATAAACTCCCAAATTGTTTTTCACTTTATAAATTTTTCATAATTTTAATTACAAAAATTTCAATGTTAATTTTTCTAGAATATATATATGTACATATTGTATCTATTTATTTATTAAATTAATAAATAAATATAACCTTTAACGTATAAAATTATTAGCAGCTAATTTTATTTCTTATAAAAATAGTTTTTAAAAATTTCACTAAACTCAATAGTTTCCAATTTAGAAAAATTTCAAAGTCAGAAACTCAAAAAATTATTAAAAAGCCAAAAATTGAATGATTTTTTTGGATTTTTGACTAGTAAAAATTTTATTTTTAAAAACTTCAAAATTTTATCTTATATACAATAAAATTGTTTACAAAAAAAAGTCTGGAATAAAATTTTTCATATAGATATTTTTGGAGTTATATTAATTTTAAGAACCAAAAGTCGGCATTTGTCACGCAACAAAACGTTTGAATGAAAATACAAATAATTACATAATTACAGTTGATTCGTTGATTGAATTTCCTGCTCCACCCAAAAAAACAGCGGGTCTATTAGAACCGGGAGTCTTTAAAATAATTACTCAGCGTTCCGTGTCAGCAGATGCCTATTTCGCTCACATTTAACCTTTAACTCAATAAAATCCTTTTATAAAAAAAATAATAATATTTTTTATTAACTAAAAATTGTTTTTATTTTGTCGGATGATATATGAACACGCACAAAATGTTCAATTAAATTGATGAATAGAGTGTTAATAATTAAATTCTCGGGCTGTAATGCGAGCATTAATTGGGGATAAATTGAACAAGGTTTCATCGATTACAACGTTATTATGCTGTTCAATAAATAATTACTTGGACAATTCTGCAGTTCGACATGATAAATTTATCGTTTTTTTTTAATTGGAAAATTTTTTTTTTTTAATTAATTAAGTTCACACAATTTAATTAAAAAAAAAATTTATTTTTTAGTAAAAAAATTTTTAAAATGAACTTAATATTTTTTTAACTTGTTGTTTAATAATTTTTTTTGGTATAAATATATAAATATGTATACTAGAAGGTATATAAGAGGTAAAAGGGTAAACATATTCGAAACTCATGTTATGTAAAATGCCTTTGAGGGATAATTTCGGGTTGAAATAGCTCCACTGCATTTTATTATCATTCGTCTTCTTTAAATTAAATATTCCAATATTTCTTGCTCTAATAATTTTATACATTAAAGGTTATATTTATTTATGAATTTAATAAATAAATATATATACATATATATATTTTAGAAAAATTTACATTTAAATTTTTGTAATTAAAATTATGAAAAATTTATAAATTAAAAAACAATTTGGAAGTTTATTAATTTATCAAAATTTTTTTGTAGAAAATTTGATTTTCTATAAAATACATTAATTATAACGGGTGCCTAGAGGTAAAAGGGCGTATAAAAATTTATGCGCCTTTTTACCTTTGCAAAGGTAAAAAGGTGCATATTTTTTTTTTATTAATTTAATACTTTAATATTTTATATTAAAATTTATTAATTTAATATTTTAACAGGTTATGGGCCCAGACTTGACCCATAGAATTTTCGGCTCATTTTTTGTACAAACCTAGGGGACACTTTTCTAAGAAAAGTTTTTAAAGAACCAAGTCAATCGGTCGATTAGTTTCGGAGTTATAGTCATTAAAAAAATCACTGCACAACCCAAAGCGCGGCAATAAATCGCGTGTCTAAAGGTAAAAGGGCGCATATTTTTTTTTTATTGCCAAAATCGAGTAGTACACATTCTACTTTTAAAATTGAAAAAAAAAAATTGTAAAGGTAAAAGGGCATATGTCTTTAATTATACGGCCTTTTACTTTTAAGAATTCGAAATTTTGGTGATCTAAAGGTGAAAGGCCGTATAATTTTTTTTTTCGGCCAGTTTACAAAACAACATATTCGTAGGTTAAAAATGTGAAAAAAAAAACTTTCTGTGGTAAGTAGCGGCGTAAAACCTCAACTATAAAATTTTTTAAAGTTAAAAAAGAAAATATGTCGAAAAAAAAAACAATAAATTACGTGTGATTATTTTCTCGCTTTTTTATTTTAACAAATAGTTTATTATAAAATTTGGATTGTGGATTGTTGATGATGATGAAACAGCTGTTGTGTGAACGGCGCCAGTAGTTATATTCAATAGGGCGATGTAAAGCGGGAAATTTCAAAATATTTCAATGTTATCTGTCATTGTGATTTTTTTTATTACTTCATTTTTACGTTATTTGTTTTTGATTGATTTATTTTCTATTTGTTTATATCAAACTTTGTATTTGAGGCTGTTATTTTAGTATAACTTGTCTTGTCAAACTATTATTTAACATTTGATATCAAAACTACAATTTTTTTTTTACGCGCCCTTTTACCTTTAAGTAGTACTTTTCTTAAAGCTGAAAGGGCGTGTGTCTTGACATACGCCCTTTCAGCTTTAGGATACCAACTTTTTTTTTTCACAGATTTTTACGTTTCAGAATTGTCAAACCGAATGGCAAAAAAAAATTTTTTTATACGCCCTTTCAGCACAAATCACTATTAACCCTTAGCTATAAGCCCTTTTACCTTTAGGCACGCCAAGTTCTTCAAAATTATATACTTGATTCAAGAACGTTTTTTTTTTTTATGGATATTTAACCGATTTTTAAACATTAATTGAAAAGTCTTGTTAAAAATCAATGCAGAGTAAGATTTAGTTAAGCGAATTAAAATGTTTGATGTGGCATTACAACGATGTTTAATTGTAAAAGTAACAAAGGACTTGGTCAACTCATTGTCCGAGCAACAATTAGTAGACACGAAGCAAACGTTACTGTTGTAGCTGTAGCTGTAACTGTAACTGTAGCTCAACTAGAGGATCAGTATTAACACTAAAACGCGATGAGTATTCTGAGCACGTACTTGTATACTTGGAAGTACTGAGTGTAGAGTGTCACTTGACGAAGCTCGAGTGCGCATATTATTAAAACGAGAATTGCATTACTGTGACACTGTCAAAGATACTGTTCCTATAGTCACTTAATTGAGACCTACAACTTAACTTTTTACAATAAAATAAATTTTAAATGGAAAAAATGCCGACAATTCTACTTATTGCATTGGAATTCTATTACATGGAAATAAACCTTATATGACTCAAAGGACTGGCAATATCTCAAAACTATTGATTGGAACGATAGTGGACACAAAAGGTACCGGAGTCTAGAATACGTCGACAGTACAACACTCAATACATCATTTGGACGCAATTCATGGATCGTTATTTCACTTTCGATACCCACCTACAACTCCTACATGCCACATTACAACTTCTGCATTGACATTCCACTTCTCTATATCTTCTGCAGTAGCAAATGGAAGCTAGAACTAGAATGGCTACCTTAAATTTATCAACCGTAAGCATACCGATCTACAGAAAAATTAAATTGTTATTTGAATTGAGTTTTGGAAATAGGAAAAAATTATAAGAGACCTATTTTATAGGAAATTAAATTTCTTACAAAAAAGGTATCATATTATTGATATTTACCCCATAAATAGCAATTTAATTATTTATTGCCGCGCTTTGGGTTGTGCAGTGAATTTTAAAATGACCATAACTCGGAAACTAATCGACCGATTGATTTGGTTCTTTAAAAACCCTTCTTAGAAAAGTGTCCCCTAGGTACTTGCAAAAAATGAACCAAAAATTCCAACCCTGGTACTGGGCCTATAACCTTAGGTTAAAAAAATTTTATTAATTTTTACAGATCCGAGGGAAGCTTCTAGACCCAAAAGCAAGGTCTGTCCAACTGTCTAAGCTGCTTCCAAACACCCAATACCTGATCTGTGTCCTTGGGCTCGGAAATTGGATGACTCCTTTACTGGAAGATCTTGGAACTAACCAGAACTCGACAGATGACTTGATAAATACGGGATCTAAACTAGCTCAGATGATGGTTAACTTCCCGATGAGCAGGTGCACTGAAGTTAGAACTCTAGATGCACCAGACTCTATAATTGGGGACACTCCGTCGGAAAGAACTGGCATAGCCACCATTTTAACCAGGAGGTTGGGATTGATTGTCGGAAGCTGCATGAGGTTCGTGGTCTTCATTGTCCTGGTGTCGATCCTCGGGTATATGAAGATGAAGAAACAGAGGGCGGCTATGAAGCGCGAACAGCCTCTGGCGCCCAATCCTCCGGAATACATGTCATATCGTCACTTTTCGCTCCAGAGTGGGGATAGGCTGGACAATAACAATCCTTGTCCGAGTTTCATCTCCAGTATTGGTAATACCACGCTCAATACGTAGCATAAAGTTAATACTGATAGCAATTATTCAGCGGTTGTGCGTGATATTGAAATGATTACTATCAAAGATTGCAATAGTATTTTTCGATAACTTTTTTGTTTTGGTAAGGTGAATGTCAAATTTTAGCAATATCTTTAATATTTACCCCGTAAATTGCAATTCAATTATTTATTGCCGTGCTTTGAGTTGTGTCGTGAATTTTAAAATGTCTATAACTCCGAAACTAATCGACTGATTGACTTGGTTCTTTAAAAACTTTTTTTAGAAAAGTGTCCCCTAGGTACCTTACAAAAAATCACAACCTAATTACAATTTCTAATTACTGGTAATTAAAAAATTGAGTTTTTACTCAAACCACAACCAAATTTGGAGACATTCACCTTACAACGCTCATTTTTTCGGTAAAAAAAAAGTAACCGCGTTTAATATCTAAGTAACTACATAATAAATGAGTAAGTAAGAAAAATGTATAGAAAAAAAATATAAAACAACGATAAGATGATAAAATGTACGTACTCTTGTATCTCTTGGATTTAAGACTGATTTTTTATTAACGCTCGATTTCTTTTTTACATTTTTTTATCTTTCTGATTAATAGATTTTAATCGTATGTAAATAATTCAATAATAATTATGATTATTAATAATATTAATACTTACAATAATTATATTAATAATATTAAGGATAATTGTAAATATGTTGAATTAGATTGAGTGAGTCAATTGGTGACTGAGAGGAATAATAATTTAAAATTTTTAAAATAAAAATCAAAAATTAGTGTCGATTCCTGGCCATGATTAATGAAAATTAAAATTGTATACCCTGTACTGTAAAATTTTACAAGTCACTTATTGTATTTATTAATTATTTAACTATTGTATATATAGATAAGGACGTAATCAATAGAATTTAAATTATTAAATATTTTTTTTTCATTTCAATTTTATCCTTGATCATTTTTTTTATCTCCAATATTAAGCCCATAAATCGCAATTTAATTATTTATTGCCGCGCTTTGGGTTGTGCAATGATTTTTGCAATGACTATAACTCCTAAACTAAACTGAACTAGTATAGGTCTATACTAAAAATTAGACCGATTACAAAAAAATTGTAATTATAAATCATAATTCAATGATTGCAACAACTCAAAATTTCTCCGAAAAAAAAAAAAACCAACTAACTTTGTATCTAATACTAAAATCAGCTTAGAGTCAGCGACGAAGTGCTGTTACAAAAAGAGCCTCATCGTACGTGGTATCATAAAGATAGGCGTGAGTAGGAAACAAACGTCTGGTTGCATTCCAATTGGCTCTTGTGAGAAACTTTTTAGCTGTCACAGGTTTTATTTACTTTATTTTATTTTTTTGTCATTCTATTTCTTCATTTGCTCTGACAAATAAACACTCAATAAAAAAATAATAGAATTTTCAATTATTTACTTAAAATGTCGCAAAAAAAAAAAAAATTAACTGGCTAAAATTTATCCCACGTACTTTGAAAAGCGTCTGTTGAAACTCGAATGAGAATTCACAAACGATTTATAAACTTTTTTAAAACCAAAAAAGTCTCTATCTTTAAATTCGCTTAGCTCCTCATTATTATCCGGCTCACAACCGCGATTACTTTGTTCTTATACGAGTATTATCTTTTAGCGTCCTGCTTTGAAGAAGAGCCTCTTATTTTTCAATATTTAAGTCCGTATTTTAAGCTTTTTTAAATTATTTATTAGTAAAAATTGATTTTTTAAAATTTATTAATTTTGTTCAATCACTTTGCAATTCATAAAAATAATAATAATAATAATGATAAGGATAATAATAGTGAAGACAAAGAAGAAAGAGCTCCCATGAATCGTGTAATCGTGATACCCTCCAGGCGATAACGCCATTTCTTATATTAAATAAGTCTTGTCTTAACATCTTGAGATAGATATCTAGGCTCGAGATTTCAAATTAAAAGTAACTGGAGATATTGATATCTTGAATTTTATATTAGTTTTATTTAAAGAAAAAGAAAAATAAGGTTGCTTATATAAAACAAAAAAGTTATTTAAAAATTTTTTTAAATAATGACTTTCGTTAAATTGCACTGTACTTTCTTAACTAATGATGATTTTAAAGATATAAGCTCATTCTGATAATACACTCATTAAGAGCTTTCATTTGAGTACCCACAAGCATTTTTGGTATATTTTTATATATACATATATATATAATATATTTTAAAGATATAAGCTCATCCTGATGTTACACTTACCAAGAGCTTTTATTTGAGTACCCACATGCATTTTTGATATATTTTTCATATTTACATATATATAGTATACATATATATGTATATAAATATATGAAAAATTGATGTGGGTACTCAAATAAAAGGTCTTGATGAGTGTAATGTCAGGATGAGCTTATATCTCTAAACATGTCAATAGTTCACAAAATACAAGGTCATTTCTTAATTAATAATTATGTAATATATATAATATATATTCTAAAGATATAAGCTCATTCCGATGATACACTTATCAAGAGCTTTCATTTGAGTACCCACTTGCATTTTTGATATATTTTTCATATATACATATATATAATGTATATATATAAATATATGAAATATATGAAAAATTGATGTGGGTACTCAAATGAAAGGTCTCGATGAGTGTAATCTCCGGGTGAGCTTATATCATTGAAATTGTCAATAGTTCACAAGATACAAGTTCATCAAAAATAAAAAAAAACCCAATAAATATTTTCTATAATTTAAAAATGAATTGTTAGTGATATAAAATTAATCTAAGTTTTCTATTGTTTTCGATTGTTATCTCGAAATATTTGTTATCAGGAGACATTCTTTGTCTTTGACATCGAAATAAGCAGCATTTGTCGGCTCAAAGGCATCCTCAATAGTTCCGGGTACCCACAAATCGGCACCCTGGTAGATTCCACTAGATTAGGGCTCCAGTAAAGTACAAGGAAACAAAAAAAGTAAGTCACAGGGTGTTACTCAAATAGCATGCCAATTGGGTTGTACCCGATAAAAAGGCATTCCTCGTCCAGTATTCAATCTTAAACTTTCTTTTGCGCTACTCTTGCTTCTTCTTTCTAAGCTCTCTGTTTCTCAAGCATGAGAAACAGATCCCGGGCACTATTTTCAGTCCTTTGTCCCTTGATTCAGAATTTCTTATACGCTTTTCGACACTGTCGATATCGCCGTAAAAAAAATAGCTTACATGCATAGGAAGAACTCAAGAGGGAATATTCTACGTTTATTGCTTCGTGAGAATAAATAACAAGATGATAAAAAGGTGTCAGCTTCGATACAACTGCATCCAAGAGAAATAAATCTTTGTAACACTATTCTTTGAAGAGGTTTTTTATTTTCGTTAATAAATTTTATTTTATTTTTTATTAAAATCCAAATAAATAATTTGTATTTTAATTTTGCATTATTAAATTATGAATTTTGATAAATTGCACTGTACTTTCTTAACTATTAACATTTTTAATGATATAAGCTCATCCTGATGTTACACTAATCAAGAGCTTTCATTTGAGTACCCACATGCATTTTTTATATATTTTTCATATATACATATATATAATATATATAAATATATAAAATATATGAAAAAATGCATGTGGGTACTCAAATGAAAGGTCTCGATAAGGGTAATGTAAGGATGAGCTTATATCTTTAAAAATGTCAATAGTTCACAAGATTTAAGGTTATTTCTTAATTATGTAATATATATAATCTATATTTTAAAGATATAAGCTCATCCCGACGTTACACTCATCAAGAGCTTTCATTCGAGTACCCACATGCATTTTTTATATATTTTTCATATTTATATATATTATATATATAAATATATAAAATATATGAAAAAATGCATGTGGGTACTCAAATGAAAGGTCTCGATAAGGGTAATGTAAGGATGAGCTTATATCTTTAAAAATGTCAATAGTTCACAAGATAGAAGGTCATTTCTTAATTATGTATCTTTGAGACAAAATTTTTCTTATACTCTTAATAATATAGATAATTTTATAAAATTATTATACATGGCTATATATTAATATGGAAAACTTTATCCAACGTCGTTATATTTTATCAGTGAATCATTAAGATAATGATATCACAAAGTATTGTCCCAATTATCATCACGTCTAATGATATCGAGAAGATACTATCTTTACAAAAGGCCCCTACCGAGAATATTCTTGAGTGATAAACAAAGGAATTCCCTGGGTTATGCCGTGGGCCGTACAACCTAGTGCGTCAAATTAGAGGAGGGTTGTCTGATGATACAAACTCGAGATGTAATGCATGCAAAATAGGTAACTGCGTTATTTACACAGTGGGGTAAATTACCCGTCACGATTGGCTGTGTTGAATTATTGATCGATTATCCGAGCTCTGTCTAGGTAGCCCTGCTCTTCGTCCAGAATATATTATTAGACCTGAACCTCGTTTGATTATTCTGTGCCCTTGATAGCGTGCTCGATCCACCGTATGGCTTATTCGGATTAATAAGGGTTTGTTCTCCATGATTAGTTTGATATTTCGACAGAATATAACATAAAAAACATGAAAAAAAAAAAAATAGTTCCAAAAGGAACCGCTAGGTGGCGCAATGGCGCTGTGTTTCTCGCATGTGGTAAGAAGTTTCTAAGTTTTATAATTTATTATTGTATTTTTTTAGCTTTCGGGTTTTTTTAATTTTTAGTCTAGTCGACTAGAGTAGAGTACTGCTCTTAAAATTATGTGCGATAGCTCATTGGATCCGGAATGACGTTTAGAAAAATGTGCCAAAAGCGTGTATTAGCACATAAAAAATTGCAAAAGTTATAAACAATTAAAGATTAAAAAAAATGGCATTTCGTTTTTTGCCAATATTTAATAAACTATTAATATTTAAGAAATTTTTAAAAAAAGATTCTGAAAGAGGAGGAAATTTCCAATAAAAAACTCCTAACTCCCGGAACTCTATCTCCA